CAAATGGTCTGGATATGTCACATATGAACAAATGGTTCAAATTTGAACTTAAACAGTTAGCCATTGGAACAGGGAAAAAAATTCACAGGCAAGAAAACAAAAATAAAAAAAAAGAAATAATTTTTTTAATAAATGAGACGTGGAAAAATTGATATAACAACAGAGGAAAAGGCTGAATTGACGACACTTTAAGTCAAATTAGATGACATGTATAAGGAAAAAGCTAACGGAGCAATTATAAGATCAAAAGCGAGATGGATAGAACTTGGAGAAAAAAAATACAGCACAAGAGAATACATAAACTGAAGAAAAATGACACAATTATTGATGACTAAAAACAGATAAATGTTAAAATATGGAGTTTTTACAACATGTATAAATCCAGTTTCCAAAAAGAAGAATGCGACACACTGTTTGAAACAAAGAGAACATAAAAAAACAAAATGAAGGAAAAAAAATATTAGGTGAAGACTTAACCGTATCAAAAATGGAAACTGCAATAAAACAGATGAAAAATGGGAAGTCACCAGGAATAGACGGCATAACATCGGAATTTTATAAACACTTTTGGAATTATATTAAAGAGCTTTTTTAGAGTGTATAGAAGAATAGATAAAGGACTGATAACTTTGTTACCTAATAAGAATTTGCTGAACCTGAATAACTGGAGACGTATAACTCTTCTGTGCAATGACTACAAATTAGTAGCTTTAGTAAATGCAAATCGATTTAAACATTTTCTGGCCACTCTAGTTGACGAGGTCCAGTCAAACTTCATAAAAGGCAGAAATATCTATAATAATGTGAGATTAAAATTAGACTTGCTTGACTATCAGTCGCTTATAGATTCTGAAAGTCTCATTCTCTTCATTGACTTTTTCAAAGCCTTCGATTCTATAGAACACCGCTTTCTGACTCAGACACTAAAAAAGTTCGGATTTGGTGAAAAGTTTTGTAAAGTAAAAAAATATGTATAAACAGATAATCAGTTATGATTCTCTAAACCCAGGAATGACCCCTAGAATAGAA